TAAATGTTAATTTTTATAGAAGTACGAGATCTGTGTTCATTAAGAGAGATGCAGCTAACAATTTCAAGAGAATCAAGAGGCTAACGTATATAAATATATGTAAGAAACATTTTATTTTTTGTCACCATGCAACTAGGACACTTAATACAATGTTTTTTATTCTGTTTATATTTTTGTTATAATTTTTTAAAATAAGAGTTTTTATATTATTTTATCGTAAATGGAAAAATTCTAAAAATTATTTTATAAACAAATGGAAAGAATTAATTTAATAAAGTAAGATTACCCCAATCATCAAAAGCAGGTTCCTTTCTTCTGTTCCATCTTTTCTTCAATGCATATTTTAACATCTTATCGCTAGCATCTACACTTGTCATCTTAAATCCGGCTTCTAATAACATTATAGAATCGATTCTGTAAAATTTTTTGAATTAATTTATGACGTGTCATATACAAAATTAAAAGTGCATCCTCAATTAACATTATTTCAATTGTAAAAATAAATAAATAAATTTTCTTCCACAGATTTTTACATCAACTTTTAGAGGGGAAACACATTTTCCTTTTATCAGTTGTCATTAAATCTAAACCTAAATAACCTGGTAAATCAAAAGTCAAGGGCAGATTTCTGTCAAAACATTTCAACATCTTATCCATTAAGTTGTTTATATTGATTTTAATCTAACAATTTTTCACTAATGTAAATTTATTAAGTTAATTAATTTTAAAATATATTTTTTTAATTTTCAGATAATATATTTCATTAGAAAAAGGGTTTTTAAAATTGTTTCTTAATTATTTTTTTAACTAAATTAAAAATTGTGTACAAGTTTGGAAAACAATTACGAGATGTATCTTGCCCATTTTATACACTCATGGTCTAGGAGACAATTGATATGATCCTATCCAGTGCCGTNAATCAAAAGTCAAGGGCAGATTTCTGTCAAAACATTTCAACATCTTATCCATTAAGTTGTTTATATTGATTTTAATCTAACAATTTTTCACTAATGTAAATTTATTAAGTTAATTAATTTTAAAATATATTTTTTTAATTTTCAGATAATATATTTCATTAGAAAAAGGGTTTTTAAAATTGTTTCTTAATTATTTTTTTAACTAAATTAAAAATTTACCAACATATGTTACTTAGAATATGCAATATATTAATATAAAATGTATGTAGTTTTATGTATTTTTAAACTATAATCTAATCACAACTGTAAAAATTATTATTTAAGCAATTATAAATATATAAAATTAAGAAAAATTTCTTAAATAGATTATATTTAAATTTATTTTTATAAATCAATGTTTAGTAACTTACCCAGTGCCACATGCCACATCTAATATATGCTTACATCCATGTTCTCTTAACATTGATGTAAGAAATTCTCTGTAATGTTTAGTACGAGTTTCTTTCTCTCCGATATAAACTTCCCATACACGTGCGGCTTTTCCGTCCGCATATTGATCAGGAACACCTTCTATAGCAACACCTAAGGATCTAGTACGATACACGCTGTCCACCATCTTCGATATTCCTATGGTTATGAGGAAAATTGGCTCAGTTTTTGCATTTTTAAAGTAACCATGTGCATATGATGGAGGCGTAAACAGTTGTTTCTCCTCCCTGTTTAAATGTGTGGTTAGAGATGAGAAGATAAATTTTTTGTTTATATTCCTCCTCGTGTTATTTCTATGTGGCTTATCTAATGTTTGTACAAGAATTTATACAAAATTTTGATTACATTATTTAGATATTCGGATGTTCTATGTTATCTCCTCAAAATTATTAAAGGAATAACCATTTTTATACAAAAATTAATTTTATCTTTAAGTCATGTATGATTTACTCTATATTCCCTGATAAGTTTTATTTTAATTTTGAGCATAAAATTATTAAATAATTTATATTTTTGTAATTAATTACATTTAAAACTTCAAAGTTTTCCCATAAACAGTTTGCACCATTGTTTCCTATTAGCTAATATTTGGTATATTGATTATACTGTTATGATATTTCATTTAAAAAAAAATCTTTTTATATTATTAATTATTATAAAATGGAAAAAAGCTCAATTTTCAAGGTAGAGATTGTATATGGAAATAACCAGTAAAATCTTTATTAAAAATCTTGGGAGGTCATTTTTTAACTAATGCTATACTTTCCCTCTGTTATATATAACAACCTGGAAAGTAAAAAGTATATGATAGATATCTATAAGATAATTTTGTGAAAAATAAGTTATATAATTCTGTTTTTGCTTCAGGTTTTAATCCAATATTTTAAGTATTTTAAATGTAAATAGAAATTAAGCATGTTTCTGATTAGAAGAAATGCTGTAATGTCTTACACTGAGATAATAAGATATCAAGACACATTTCGTAATCTCTGGAGTAGATTAAAAGTCAAATTAATCGCCAACCTTCATCATTAGGTTAATCATTATCCAGTTAGAACCGGTTTTTCAATGGTATAAGTGTCCTTAAGGCATTTAAATTCATATCAAAACAAACTTTTTTGTATTAAATGCTTGTGTAGGGAAGACCCCGTTTTACGACCTCTTGTTTACATGTTTCTTTATTTACATTAGTGTGTTTATTATATCCTAAATTGTGAAAATTATTGCATTATATTTTTCAGCCACATAATGCAATATTTTCACTCCTTTTGTAGCAATTTTATCTTCAAATCGTTTCAAATCTTCTCGTATAAAATCAGATTGTATGCACTTATATGATCTAGACATAAACAACTCTCTTAGAAAACAGAAAAATAAAATTACATTGTCAATCTGGTGCCATTATTCAACCTTAATTAAGCTGATATTGGTGACGAAGAACATTCAAACTAATAAAATATGTATTACTAGTTTGCATAACATTAGAATATGTTATTTTATTACTAGAGTACTGTCTGTTATGGCATATGTTGGTACTCAGCATGGTTAAAGCCTGCAACTCCATAAGAAAAATTGTTTCAGGCCACAAAGTTTCCTTGCGGTCCTCATCCAGAAAAGCTTGTTCATAACTATATCTAGATAAAAGGTTCTTAACCTGAGATCCATTTAGATCCACCCCTGAGAGTTTTTTTTTTAAAAGAAACCTTTGAACTTGGATCAGGAAACCTCATGAATCACTAGGTTCATGATCCCAGGTTAAGAACCTCAGATCTAGACAAAATTTAAGTTGCTTAACAGTGAAATAATATTTAAAAATTCCAGCAACGAGTTGCGTAACTTTTCCGTAAAATCTTCATTAAGTCATTGATCAGGAATACCTTCTATAGCAACACCTAAGGATCTAGTACAATACACGCTGTCCACCATCTTCGATATTCCTATGGTTATGAGGAAAATTGGCTCAGTTTTTGCATTTTTAAAGTAACCATGTGAATCTGATGTAGACGTAAACAGTTGTTTCTCCTCCCTGTTTAAATGTGTGGTTAGAGATGAGAAGATAAATTTTCGACCCCACTCGAGTTATGACACACGGCCCTCTCTATCTCATCACCCCTTCGACCTTTAACGACCAAAATTTAACAGTATCAATTCCCTTAATACAAAAACCTCCACGCAAAACTTCAGAAATTTTCGACAAAAGACACACGAATTATTAAGCTTCAAAGTGGATGAACAAAATCGTGCCCTGAAGACGATTATTTAATTAATTAACCAAAATATTTAATGACGTAACTAAATATCTCAAGGATAATCTATTGATAAATTATTATTCGATAGGTGAAGATTGACCAGCTTCAAGTATTTCTTAAATAAACAAGATGATTATTAAATTATTTGAATCATTACGCTCTCTGTAAAATATTTAGAAAGATTAATTTGCTCGATAACGGATATTTGTGTATATTTGGATCCGTAATCTTATATAAAATCATGAAAAACACTTCAGTTTTATAAATTATTGAGTATCGTTGACGTCAATAAAGTTTAGTGTTATGATTAATCGTAACAGAAAAGATGTTACGCAATTCACGGCATTGCTGATCATTGCTACTCTCCATTATTAAGTACTTCATTAATATTTAATCTTGTATTTTTGAATGTGTTCCTATTTGTCTGCTACACATAATAATGGCAGCTATCTAAAGGGCCTTTAGACAGGGCTTTTCATTATTGATTCTTTCGACCCAGGGTTGCTCTCTTCTGGGATGTGGTCTCACATCTGAAATGCGTTGCAATTAAAGATATTTTTAGAAATTTCTTTACAAAATGAAGATCTTGGAGATTATGGAGTTGGAGGAAGACTAAGGAGATGAAGAAGTATGTACTGTGTAGTGTTCTTCTTCCGAAGTTGATGAAGAAAGCCTCTCCCCGTTCATTGGGTGGGAACTAGGGATCCTTCCTTTTGAGGAAAGGACTTTCACTTCACTGGACTGGGCTCAGAAGATTCTCGTGTTCTCTGTTGGATTTTGAACGGAAAGTTGTATTTAATTACGTCGTCAGTCTAGTGCATTAGGGACCGGAAACCAAATCCCGATGGGTCGAAAACTCCTGAAATTTTTTCAGAGGTGATCCGTCCCAGATATATCGAGCCCCATTATGAGTCTGCTCGAATCCACGATGGGTTTGAGAAAAGTCCTAGAGAGGAAAGAGTAAAATTCCCTTATGAGCATTACTGATTCCCATACTTTAATTCACTTTATAAACGGTAACATTTTACAAATTTTAAATATTTATTATACAACTTTTAATTCAAAACTAAATAAATTTTACGCATTTAAAATTTTTAAAGGAAAATTGGGAAATTCTTTAATTTTTCCCATTTCTTTTTCGCATTAGATTTTGTTACGATTTGGCTTTATGAATTTTTTAAATTTGTAATTTTTATTGGAATTGATTTGATAAACCGGGGTTTTCGGTTTTTGTTTGTTTCTGCATTTTCTACTGGAATCGCATATTCCATTATCATTTCCCTCCATTAAAGATCCAATTAAGCGATCCAAGATGTCTTCTTCGCTGCTTGATACTTCTCCATCACTTACTATCCTCTCCTTATCAGATTCATAATCGTCTGATTCTTCATTAATAATATTTTCTTCGTCGACATCTGTTCTTTCTTCAGTGTACTCTGAATTGTCGTGAAATTTCTTCGTTTTGTCCATTTTATCAGACCCTTTGTTAAAATTGCTTTTGGAAACGACCTTCCTTCTGTCCACATTCTTCTTCACCTCTTTATTATTCTTGGCAACTTTCAGCACGTTCTTCACAGGCTGCAGAAAAATATGCAAAACTTACTTCGATGCATCTAATGTATACCAATCTAAATAATAATTTACGGGGCAAAAAACAAAGTTAACCCGTATATGTGTTTTAAAATATATCTCAGTTAACTGTCTTTGGGCCACCATTTATAAAATTTATCTTAAAAAGTAGGAAATGCAAATTATAAATTTATACTTTGATTTCTTTTTCTAGGTTTTATTTATTTATTTTATAATAATAATTATTGTTTAAAAATAACTTTTATGTTATTAATATAATAAATAAAATTGAGCGTGGCTCCATCTATTAAGAGATTTTGTTATAAAAAAACTTTTTATATTTTTATAAGTTTTTTTTTTGTATATCCTGTCTACTTGGACCTTGTTTATTAATAGGACTTATTATACTGATATAGTTTCCGATTAGCAAATAGAGAAGAACAGTCAAAAGTCAAGATAGATTATATTTATTTTCACATGAACATTCAAATGTAAGACATTTGAATGCTCAGTTGAATGGTACATGAATTCGTTATCTATATAAAATGGGGTCAAAGTGACAATGTCCGTATTCTTTGAACCCGCCTAATAGAATTTAGGGGTCAAATAAAAACAGCATTGCGTGCACCTAACAGAAAATAAACGCAAAAAACAAAGCAATATCACAATCAACTACCAGTGTTCAGAGGTTTTATCCACATCCCCACTGGTGGTCATTGCCATCGATTGCTTTGTTATCGTCTCTTCGTGTCGGTAAGGGCAAGGATCAGCTCTGTGTGCAGGCCAGTACAAGGACTGCCTTTCCCATGACCGGCAGGCTACGAGAGTAGTGTCTCTCGTGACCGGCGGGTGCAAAGATTCTCCTTTCGTGGCGGCCGTCACGTACAAGAATCGCCTTTTCTGTGTCTAACAAGTGCAAGGATTACTTCTTTCTCTTCGACTCCGCATCAATTCTATCGCGATACGACAAAATCGCTCGATGTCCTTTAATTATAATCGAATGGCAAACAGCGTAATTCCGAGGGAAGGGATGAGTTTTATTAAAAATTGTAAATGCTAATAAAGAATAACATCTTCATCCAATACGACCCCTCTCGAGATATGATACACGACTCCTATCTATCTCCCTACTCCTTTGACCTTTCACTAACAAAATTTAATAACGTCAATGCCCCTTATACGCAAGCTACCATGCCAAATTTTGTTTCTTAATTTTTACTCCATCCTGATATATTAAACGAAATAAATAATTAAACACACACACCCGTATCCACGATATTTTTTTTGTTGTTTTTTGAGTTCGGAAGTCTTAAAACGTGGGAATTTGCAAAAAACTCGGAGGATCAAATTTGACACAATTCCAATACTTTCCCTTGTTATGTATACACAATAGCCGAGAAAGTAAAGGAGGTAAAAATAAAAGTGAATTTCAAAGAAGACTTCATAAACCCATTTCGTGATGGCCAAGCAGTTAGAGTGGCATTCGCGATGGGCGGTTACGATGAATTTTTCATGGGGTAGTCCGTCCAGATATGTTTAGGTTACGTTCTTCACCACCCCGTTGTCCCATTATGGGCTTTTTGATAAAGACCTTAGTGTCCACAGGGCGGAAAGAGTCTTAAAAAGTGTTAGTAATCATGTGTTTGCCACAACTGGCATCACGTGGTTACTATGCATAAAATGTTTGTACTTCAAAAAAATCCAGTGGCATTTTAAGATTTGTTTGAAATCCGCGTGTTTAAGGTCAAAATTTACTAATATATGTAACTTTTTGGATCATCCTGTGTTAAAAACTCACATCAGTAGCATCGGCATAACGTTTCTTCAATTCCGTTAATCTTTGTAACTTCTTCCTATAAACTATACGTTCTTCATCTTCTTTAGCTAACAATTGCCTCCAGTTATGAGGAAATTTTAATATATTCTGACGATAATTTAAATGACGCTAAAACCAAAAGATTCAAATGAATTTTAATTAAGTAAATAATAATATATTTCTCAAGAAGACAAAGGTCACTCACACGAAAATCCTTTTCCCATTTTAGTACATCGTATTCTCCATTTTTTGATAAGATTCTATGTAAGAGCACGATATTTTCATAACCTATTTTCATCATTTCTTGTCTTCTTGAACGGAAATTTAAACTTAAAAAGAAAATTTCGGACATTTTAAAATCATTTTTCTTGTAGGAAATTTAATAAGTAATTGAATCAGAACCTGCCATATTACCTGTTATGTTCGTAACGGTTTATAGAAAATTCCGTGTAAGGTTGGTTCATGATTGTAGCAATCTTATCCAACAAAATTTTATTCTCTTGTTGAATTTCCGAAAGTCTCTCTTGTTCTTTCTATATATAAACGTCGCTAATTAAATTTCACATAAAATTCTAATTATAAAAGGCGAGCCAAACGTTTAAGTATCCCATAAACTCGATATAACGCTCTCACCAATGGCCGAGTGTATAGGACCACTGAACACTCGTGGGTTCGGGCTGGCCAACAACGGGCTGGACTCAATAAAGGCTAGTTTTTCATAAAAATCGCTCACATGTCACATTGCAATATAAAAATAATCCAATCCAATCTTGATGTAACGCGAGCAATGGGATCCAAGATAATCATTACAAGTATGACCTCGTTCTACGCCATCGAATTTATGTATTTTGTTATAATAAATAAGAAAGACGTGATAATGCTTTACTTACTCTGAAATCAAAGACTTTCATCAAATATGAAAGACATGAACATGCGTTATATGCGATTTCGCGTTTTATCGAGCAGCATTATATCGTGACTATCACTTGAATTATGATTATTGAGAAAGATTTTACACCTAAATTAGTTTTAGTCCTATTCTAGTATTGATAGAATGAATTTCAATAGTGTTTTCTAGAACTGAAGAGTCGACAAGACCTAATTTGGCACGAGGTAGGCAAGACACTTACTTGCCCAGGGCCCGTAATAGATTCTAAATGTGCTATTGTTTTATTAGTATTGCGAATTACTATATTATTAGCGCGCCATATCAGATGGCACTAGTGAAAATTCGGCATCTTTCCGTAGGTAATTTTTCTGTGAGGGCCCTGAGTTTGACTAGGTGGATTGGATGTATTATAACCTATTTTTACAGTTATAGTTTTTCTTTCTTTGAAGTACATGTTTTGAATGTTTCTATTTAACATATAAGTAGGTAATTTTAATATTGTATTTTATCTTTATATCTGTGTCCTGTGAAAAATATTTACATTAGAAACAAACCTCATCAGAATATTGAATTTATAGGAGGCAAAAAAAGAATTTCAAGTACAAGGCAAAACCATTACAAGGACCTTGCATAAAACATCGTTTATGAAAGAAAAGGGCAATGGAGAAATTGTTAATAGAGAATGGCTTATTTGCAGCAGAAAGAAACAAGTCTGTATATTGCTACGTATGCAAATTGTTTCTAAAAAAATACACAATTTTCACAAAAGCTGGGTTTTGACAATTGGAAAAACATACAGGATAGATTAAAAGATCATGAAAATTCGATTGACCATAGAATTTGTATAGGTACATTTATTGCTAGATCAAATTTGAAGGTCGAATTGATGTAGAAATTAACAACCAATGGAATACGGAAAAACTGTATTGGAGAGAAGTATTAAAAAGGATCCTTTGATTCTGATGAAACCGTCTTGTAGTTTACCTTGCTTTTTTACAGATACAATACGGTGACATTATTCAACACTTGGCAGATTATTTACCACTTTATTCAGTTGGGACGCTATTTATAAGTCGCGTTTCGGGCATTAGCCCCTCTTCAGCCAACTCAAGCACATATCACGAGCGTACAGATGTCGTACAGGATGGACAGTTTCATATTCTATATATCAAGTGGACAATAAACAGATTGACAATACTCGAAGCTGAGTGCTTGACGAAATTACTAATATAGAAACGGCAGTTAACATCCGAAAAAGAAAGAAACATGTGTACAGTTCAACATCAAGAAAAGATACAAGGTGAGATAGATAAACTTCTAGTAGATTTACATTACCTAAAGGTACACCTTAAAGAGAACAGACAGTGAACAAACATAATAAATTGGTAAAAAAATTCAAGTATCCTTTTATGGAAGAGATATTAGAGTGGAAAAAATCTCTAGTGTTGAACAAAACACAAATTGAGATTCCTAATGGTGTCTTAGAGACAATACAAAAAGGATTGGACTTTAACCGACCTAATGATTGGGAAGTCATAGATATAGTGCCAGGTTTATATCGTATGTGTAATGAGTTAACAGAGGTAGATTCTAAAATTCTAAAAATTAACTTAAGTAACATAATTAAAAAATATACTACGAAAGAAAAAGGAAAAAGGATTGGACTTTAACAAACCTAATGATTGGGAAGTCATAGATATAGTACCAGGTTTAAATCATATGTGTAATGAGTTAACAGAGGTAGATTCTAAAATTCTAAAAATTAACTTAAGTGATATAATTAAAAAATATACTATGAAAGAAAAAGGAAAAATGAAGATAAAGGATAAAAATTATTATAAATATAAAAACGATATAGAAAAACTGTATACATTTCTAAATGATAATAAGATAAATATTATAAGAGCAGATAAATCTAAACAAGTTATTGTTGTGACTCAAGATTGGATAAAGTTAAAAAAACTAGAAATAGTAAAAGGGAATAAATTTAGAGAACTACCGATTAACCCCAAAGATATTATATACGAAGAATTAAAAAATAGAATTANAATACTTTGTTTAACTATATACTGTGCATCATGGCCCTACATCCTACAGTGGGGCCCCCAGACCAGGATCATTGGCGAGCCCCCTTCTCCCTCCCCACTCAAACCCAACACCTTAGTGGTGTGAGGCAAGGGACCTAACCACTTGGCCCCCATGGCAACTTTGGATATGATAAGACAGCTAAATGACAAAAAATATTATTTTCATTCACAAATTAAGCATGCATTTACAAAAACATAGATTAGATTTATTAGAGACAATAGAGGAATTGCACTGACAAATTTTACAATTTTTTTTTGATTCTGATGAAACCGTGTTGTTGATTTTATCTTGCTTCTTTACAGACACACTAAAGTGACATTATTCAACACTTGTAGGTTTGAATGTAGGTTTTCCATACATAAAAAATATGTATGAGCAAATAGATACAGAAATGAAGAAAAATAATATGAAACTTGCTCCAAAATATGAAAATCTATTCTCCAGATTGAAGGCTAAACAAAGTATGAGAAAACAAAAAATAAATACAGAAGAAATGAAAAATATTGTATATAAAATACCATGTACATGTAAAAACAACAGTTTTTATATAGGTGAAACAAAACGCAAACTAAAAATAAGAGTTAAAGAACATATGTCCGATTTGAAGTATCACCGATTAAACTCAGTATTCCATGATCATTGTGTACTAAACGATTGCAACATAGATAAATCTAACATACAGATTCTACATAAAGAGAAGAAAACATATAACAGAAAATTTAAAGAGAGTGTTGAGATTATTAAAAATAAAAATAACAATTGTATAAATAAAAACTTAAGCATTAAAATTAGTGAGAACTGGATAAAAATATTATAATTAAGTTGGTGACTATTGGATATAATTATGACGATAATCGCCAAAGTTTAAAGTTCATGTATAAATAAATGATTGTAAAAAACTTGGAAATAATATAAGTTAATATTAATATAATAATTCCTGTTTGTACACAACTTTCCATTGTATACTGAAATAGTTTCAAAAATCAGCTCGCTTATATATGTAAATTAGCAGGACAAATAGTGTCCTGGGATGACTGTGCGTGAAGCTCGTCATAAAAAAGTTACAACAGTTATTGTGTGAATTTTGGTATGATATACGAATATAAATTACAGGTAAAACAAATATTGTTAAAAAACGTTTATAAATTTCAATTTATTTATTTGAATTATTTGTATAAACTTAAAGAACGTCATATTCGAAAGTCCTGTCATCAAGCAGTCAGCTTCGAGTATTGTCAATCTGTTTATTGTCCACTTGATATATAGAATATTAAACTGTCCATCCTGTACGACATCTGTACGCTCGTGATATGTGCTTTTGAGTTGGCTGAAGAGGGGCTAATTCCCGAAACGCGATTTGTAAATAGCGTCCCAACTGAAAAAAAGTGGTGAATAATCTGCCAAGTGTTGAATAATGTCACCGTAGGGTGTCTGTAAAAAAGCATAAAAAGGATCCTCTCAACAATACTCTTTTGTCTAAAAATGGCTTTGCATTTTATGGCTTAACAACTAAATTCTTTGACACGGATAATGGAAACTATTTAAGTGCATTACAGTACCTTAGTGAGTTTGATCTTTTCTTAGCAAGCCTTCTGAAAAAATATAAAAATCCCGATTCCGGGCACGTCAACTATTTGTCTCCAATAATCTGTGACAAATTTGTTAAAATTATGGCGGAGAAATTAAGGAGCACTATTTTAGATGAACTAAAAGAAGCAAAATATATATTTTTTCTTTTTTTAAACTCTTTCTGCCCTGTGGGCACTGAGAGGGCCTCTTTTTTGCAAGCCCATTATGGGTTCGGCCAGGCCCACATTGAGGCTGCCGGGTGGTGAGGGGCGGGACCCGCCATATCCAAACGAACCATCCCCGACAAACTCCTGGGGATTTTTTAACCCGTTCGGCTTCGAACCCGGGTCCCCCAGGGGGGTAGGCTGCCACCTCGACCACTCGGCCATCCGGACGCAAGCAAAATATTATTATTTAATATTAGATTCAACGCCTGATGTAAGTCACGTTGATCAGATGTCAATAATAGTTAGATATGTTTAGGCAAATGGTAGCCCCGTTGAGCGATTTCTAAATTTTATTCGTGTTTTTTCGCATAAGGTTGACTATTTAGAGGAATCGGTTGTAAGTTATTTGGATAGTTTAAAAGTCGATATAAAAATTGCAGAGAGGCCAAAGCTATGGCAACGCATTGAATTTAGCCGGCAAATACAATGGTCTTCAAGCAAAAATAAAAAGTTACGGTGAAAGCGCTCATTATGTTCATGCGGCAGTCATTCTTTAAATCTTGTAGGTAATTTTGCTGTAGATTGTTGCCCATGGCAGTTAGATATTTCAGTACTATTCAAAACATTTAAACTTTTTTGCTGCGTCAATATACCGATGCAATTTAGTAAAAAATCTTTTCCAAGAGAACTATAAACCGCTTACTATTAAACCTATTAGTGACACTAGATGGTCAGCAACTCGGTTGCTATTAGAGGCATTATTGATGGATTCAATGAAATTAAATCAGAATTTCAAAAATTAGAAGAAGACGTGTCTCAAAAAAGATTAACCCAAATAGAAGAGA